TTGGCTGTTAGGGATTGTCAAAATGTCTTTTGCCAAGGTCACCTGCATCTTCGGAGAAATGCATCTGACACTTGGAATACAAATATTTACAGGAGCTCCATGAGTTTCTCTAACACTTGGTCTGTTTACTGATGGCAGGGAAATGTGTTTAGAGCAATAAAATGCTAGTTGTGTTTACCTGGTCAGATCACAGTGGTTGTCCACCAGTTGTGTTTATCATTAAAAAAGCAGTATTAGGTTAAGGGATGGATTAATTTGAATTGAAAATTAGTGCCGATTCACTTTGGTGACTAAGAATAAAGTGGATAGTCCCAGCCCAGGCCACAGAAGCAATTACTTCACTCCATAAAACCATACATAATTTACCATCCTTAAACAGTTTTTTGACCAGTTACATTATCATGTTATTCCACAATCTATCTGTTGGATGATGATTGATGCAGTGCTGTCTTCTTTTGCTGTTATTCTTTTTGACTTTTGATTGCCCAGGCTAATAAACCCTTCTAGAAGAAAAACATTTGACAAGTTTTCTGAAAGTACACGTTCTAGATCTTAGACACACTAGTGTTGCAGCATAGTTTTATTGCCTTTTGACCCATCCACCCATCCATTTTCGTACCACTTCATAAAATTCAGAGTTATGCTGTATGCTGTATTTCTTTGGTTATATACATTGAATTATACTCCATAGATACAACATGTTTGTGCTGTATGTTTGTACCAGTTTTAACTCTTAATTAATTACTATTTGGCAATGCTGAATTTGACACAATATCTGTCGCAGGACTTTAAAAATCTGGTTTCTAAATCCTATGTCCACAAAAATCAGATGCATTCACCCACTTTTATAAGACCTCTCCCTGCTCTGTGGCTGTGAGCATAAAAAGCATCCCTATTAAAATACACCAGGACTTTAAATTATACATGGAAACTTCCCTGTAATGGATCTTTTCAAGGTGCATTCCCATCACTTTTTCATATCTCTTGCTTTATTGAACAAGGGTCTTGGTCTAACTAAACTCCCAGATGCCTTTTATCTAATGAAGAAGTTGGTGTGGAACCTTTTTTAGATGCAAACTTAATATTTATAGGCAGATCAAGTTGTAAAGTAGTAGGAATGCCGTGGAAATTGGATAAATTCAGATGTGTTTTTAATTGTGAAATGTCAAAAGCAGATCTGGAGCATTCTTTCTATTTAAAAGTAATCTGCATTGCTCAATTTTAAACCTGAACAGACATTTTGTCTGTTTATAATAATAATAATAATAATAATAAAGCACTTTACAAGTGGGGACTCCCCTCCACCACTACAAATGTGTAACCCCCCCATTGATGATGCTACGGCAACAGACATGCACCAGTGCGCACATCAAAGATCAGGTATTAGTAGAGAGAATACTAAGGGCCAGGCACTGGGGTAATATTCCTACTCACCCTACCAGCAGCCATATCACCCTGCAACTCACAACTGGCAACCTACTGAAGCTAAGCAGGTGTGAGCCTGGTCAGTACCTGGATGGGAGACCTCCTGGGAAAAACTAAGGTTGCTGCTGGAAGAAGTGTTAGTGGGGCCAGCAGGGGGCACTCACCCTGTGGCCCATGTGGGTCCTAATGCCCCGGTATAGTGACGGGGACACTATACTATAAACAGGCGCAGTCCTTCGGATGAGACGTAAAACCGAGGTCATGACTCTCTGTGGTCATTAAAAATCCCAGGGCGCTTCACGAAAAGAGTAGGGGTGTAACCTGGGATTATTAGGAGGCCAATCATGGATAATGATATGAATTGGCTTCATTACTCTGCTCTCCTCCCCACTGATAGCTGATGTCTGGTGAGCGTTTTGGCGCACTATGGCTACCATCGCATCATCCAGGTGGATGCTGCACATTGGTGGTGGTGGAGGGGAGTCCCCATTACCTGTAAAGCGCTTTGAGTGGAGTGTCCAGAAAAGCGCTATATAAGTGTAAGCAATTATTATTATTATTACTTTTTTCCAGAAACATGACCACAGAGAGTCAGGACCTTGTTTTTACTTCTCATCCGATGGATGGTGCCTTTTTTACAGTATATAACATCATTATAACTCAAAACCTAACAAGCTTTTTTTTTCATTGTGCCTAGAGAGCAGGATATGGGCAAACACGCTCAATCATTCTTGAGTCTAAAATACCTATTTTTATTATTTTCTACAGTGATGAGCCAGGCATAATCCAAAGTACAAAGCAAGTACTCGTGAAAACAGGAGTATTACAAAAAATGAGAAATAATAGAAAAGTGGTGACAATGGGAGCTGTAGCTCCAGACAGCCACGGCATGTACTGTACAGACCTTCTCTTCTGTTATGGTACAGGTATGATATACTGTAGCTGGTAAAAGACAAAAAAAATGGTTGTGTCCTTAATGTACACAGAGACCTTGCTCAGTTAGTAATATTCTATATTAAATCATTTTCTTTACACAATTCTGCAAAAATGCTTAGTCTTTAAGTAGTTAATTTCTTTCTTTCATACTCAATAATCACTGATGTTTCAAGTCATGTAGCGATCCCGTCTTCAATCCATAATAATAAAGAAAGAATATAATCAAGATATTCCAGCCGTTTGAAAGAGTAGGAGTTACAGTATAGAAAAGAACAAAGACGTGAGGAAAAATATTGAAATATGCAACACTGCACTATAATTTCAAAATGCACAATACCTTAAAAGATAGTCACATGGAACAGTAGGTGAAGGAGGCCACAGTCTGTATTTGTTTCAGTACAGGTCCTATGCAATTTTCAGAATTAAGTCTTTTCTGTTCTGTCTTTCAGACTTCCTCTGTCAACACATTGCTTAAAGTAATGATAGAGGAGAGGTATACTGTAAATACTGTATCTTCTCCTGCTCTTAATACTTCTCTGCCTTAATGTAAGGATGTTTTAACAATGATTCTGCCTATAAACTTTAGAGTGATTGTTAAAAAAGTATAGTAAATTAATGATTTATCAGGCAGTTTGAAGCACACATTGTTTTATCAATTGGCAGCTTTGCTTTCATTTGTGTTGCTGATTAATAAAGTTTCACTGTGTGTTTGTTTTACAAAAGTAAAAATAAATATGTAATTTGCTTGTAATTTTGTTTACCTGTAAAATGTCCTTTTCAGACTCCTTCAGGTGTGGGAGGCAGGACTAAATCCTTAACTATAAACTGTACATATGGTACAGTATGTAACACTTCAATCTAATGATCACAGCCATGCAAAATTTTAAATGTGAGTTTGCCTTAATTAGTATATTACTTGGAAACCTGTTGTTAACCTGATTTATTTTGCATCCTGTAGCAAGTGTTGAGATTTTTGTATCTTATGGAGAAGCTTCATAAGAGCTGTAAATAAAGCTGTGTTTCTTTTAATTTCTAATTAATTAATTAGATGGTTTTGAATGAAGCTGTCATTCACAGTCCGTTAACAAACCTTAGGAAATAAGAAGCAGATCTAATATCAAAATACTAGTAATTTAAATGCATACATATCACTGGGACTTGTAGTGTCTTATCCTTCTTACAGTACTATAGTATTCCTGAAAACACTGCAAAAATTAAATCTGTTTCCAAGACTACACACCAAAATTTATTCAAAAAATATTGTTGAATTTATCTACACTTTGCAAAGTTGCTTTTTTGCAGCAACAGGGACACATACTGTATAAAAAGATAAGTTAGAAGGCTACCTGCATTTGAACAATTTATAGACAAGTCATACTATCTTAAATTAACTTTTCATTTTTTCAAGCTTTTACCAGACTTTTCTCTTTTGTGTTATATTGTGTGACTGTCAATTGTGTTCTGAGCTCTTGAGCTTAGAAGGTTAAACAATTATATTAAAAATGTCCACGTTTATTCTGTTCTGATGAGTAAACAATATGTTTCAGTTTGTATATGTTAATGGGCTATTTAGAAATTAATTGACAATGTTCATCACAAAAATAGTCATATCGGGTGTTCCGTAAGTTTTCGAGTCAGTTCTGCAACCATGTGCTTCCACCGGGTCAAGTTTTTTCACAGGTATGGTATGAAGTTTCACTGCGTGAATCATGTCCAGAATTAAAGGCAACAATTTATTATAGCTTCACCCTGATAAGATTGATATAATAGTTGGTTCTTCATACCAGATTGTAAATGTGAAAGTCCTAAATTGTAATTCCAGAGATTATCTGAGAGCCATTTTTATCTGTATAGAAATCTGTGTTTTCTGACCCACACTAGAGTTTTGAAGAACATATTCACAGTGCTGCTAAAAAGGTGTGAGTTTTCTACCTGCATGTTATTGCTCAAATTCAGTTTTTTCTTACCCAGTTGGATATAGAGGCTTATATATTCTTTAGTTTTTTGCACACATCTACAAAACTAATGGTTTGCCCACTGGTGTTTCAAAATGTGTTCTTAGGTGTGATGTATTCAGAACTCAGCCTGAATTCTAACACAAAATAAATCCTATGTTTATATCAGTTCAGACCTAGCTTCTCTGCATTGGCTCCCAGTGGAGTTCAGTGTGAAATATAAATCCCTACTTCTAGGTTTTAAAGGCTCTGCATGGGTTAGCAAAAAAACTAGATAGCATTCCTAGTTTTATCTAGCATTTCCTAGTTTTATCTTTATTTTCAAGCTCCTACTGTAGAACAGTGACTCTGTTAGAATTTCTAAATATAAATTGAAAATGTATGTTTTCCTTAGCTTTTGCTGTATGATCTTGTTATTGTTGTATGTCTTTTGCATTATGATGTCATTTTATATGCTTTAGCTGCTTTAACAGTTTTTTATGCACTTTGAGATTTGGTGTTATATAAAAATAGAGTGCTATTAAGAATAAGAATAAGGTATGGCTAAGGTTCTTGTTGTTTCCTAATATAGTCTACAGTACATGTTTCTCAACAATGTAACTATTATAACTGCAATCAGGAGAAAGGAATAACCATTTCAAAGTAACATTCAGGGAATATGCTTTAACAGAGTTTCCCTTGCAGGATTTGATGCTTACTTCACTTCCCGAACACTGGAGAATAACCGGAGAAATGTTTGGTTTGCTGAATACTGGGAGGAGAACTTCAACTGTAAGCTGATGAGCTCCTCAAAAAAAGAGGATACCAGTCGCAAATGCACAGGTAAGACACTTGAAAAAAGCAAGACAATGATCCATTTTTGCAGCTGAATTTAAAATAAATATTGTTTGTATCAGATTATGTAGACAACAGGAAACCACGTTAGAGACCAATGTGTTTGTTTTTTTCTTAAGGTTTTCTATTTTGGCAGTCAACTTTTCTGGCATATAACAGAAGTCAGTTTTGACGTATAAAAGAAGTGCAGCAAAATGCAATTTATTTATCTTAAACATTTTTTGCATGTTTCATTGTATTGCTCAACATGTCGTAAACCGATTGTTTTCACATAGTACGTAGAATTTTTCTTCTAATAACTACTGTTTGGCTGTCTTTCTTTATTATATATTTTATATTTTAAAACAGTACTTTTTCTAGTACTGTACTGTATATTACACTGTATGTATCTAGTATTAAATAATCTCATTCATAGCTATGATGTTACACTTCTTTTTTACATCTTTTTGTTGCTTCCCTTTGTTTTTTATCTTTTTCTTCACATACACATATGCAATTGTATCTCCTAAAATCATTTTTTTTAAGTGTGCTGAATTACGGCTTAATTCACAGTATTTTTCTGATTTGCATAAACTACCTATCATTTACTTAAATGACTTAAAGCCTGCAATTTATATTATCTTGACTTGTAGCAATAATGCTATATCTGTCTGGGCTGTGATCATGGAATAATTTGTTTGTGCAAGCTTTATTTTTAATTGAAGGAAATGGATTTTCAACACTTTTTATGACGCTTTGAACATCTGCTCTGTGGACTAGTAATATAATGTTCAAAGGAGTGAAGGGCAATAAACAATAAACAATATTTAGAAATTAACGAGCAACAACCAATAAGGTATTCTGTCTCAGTAAAATATTAACTGAATATATAGTAAAAGACATTTACCTGACTATCAAAATATGCAACTTCTAATTTAGCACTGACCATTCTTATAGTGTATATACAGTACTGTATAGTACATGACTGATATGGACATACTGTATGAAAAAGCAACCTTGCTAGAGATTTAAAATGCCCTCAGAGATCCCACCAGAGCTCAAAGTAGTAATTATTTTTTGCAAAAAACCTACAACCATGATGTCAAGAATCAGTATTAAATCTTCTTTGATCAAGTTTTCATATCTCCCTGTTCTGTTGGATGGACTAAGGTTGATGTAGCAGCAGGAGTTGAGTTAATCTATTTTGAAGACATCAGTGAGACCTATGAATTGGAAAATCTACAAAATAAAACTCCTTCTTAGTCATCTCCTGCTTTAGTCATTTCTGAGAAAATGAAGTCAATTTAAAGGAGGAATTTCAAAACATCTCAATAGGTACAGGGAAATAATACTGTGATGCCTTACAGTGATGCTTTCCTAATGGATAGTCCATTCAGGGTATTCTGCATTCCTGCTGAAAGTTAAATTCAAAATTCAAAATTAAATCTTTATTTCTTACTCAGAATAATAAAGACATTTCAATCTTCAGGTTTTCTCTTTTCATTATTTTAATAATTAACATATGGTATGGGGGAGGTTTTTATTGAATTTAATGACTCAGTGAGTCATACAATTAAGCAGTTATAAGCTATGAAATACTTTTTTTTATTTATTTTGTCATCTGATTTTGTGGTGATGAAGTTTAATTTTGTTTATTAAAGCAAATTAATGTCAATGGACAAAGGAAGGAAAATGGCAATTGATTTAATAAGGAATAGTATAGTCAGGCATTCAGAGTTTGTTTGGTCTCTTTCAACTTCTGTCTGTACTGACCTCTTTAGTATATCCCCTGCATCTCAATCTTGACTTTCTGCCAATCAGGTAGAGTAAATCAGTCCTAAACTGAAATATTGGTTTATTTTACTCAACAGCACCAATAAATATTTATTCAACAACATACTGTATGACCTAGAAGTTTAGCCATTAGTTTTAGCTAGAGAAGATATATTAAAAACAGACTTGGAACTACTTGAAACAATTCAGTGTTTTTATAAAGCTTATTTCTCAAGCGCCCTGCAATAAATTTATATACAGTATTGACCCAAAATACCACGGATTCACATGGTGAAATGTATTAAATGGAATGAGTAAAATCAAAAAGAAGTCTAAGGGTGGTAGTGATTGTGGAATAATCATATTAACTTTGCTAAAATGTATTTTTCTGAATATGTGTCAAGGGTTAATGGATCTAAGGAATAGGATAATTTAGCTGAAAATTCTCAGATGATCAATGGTTACATTAATAACCAAAGAACCTGGATTATCTTAGTTATCATAGAAAAGGCTGTGAGGCCCTTCTCTAAAGAAAAATCCAATGGTAACCCAGTTATGCTCAGATAAATATTGGAGGGCTTTTAGTATCTTTAATATTTTTAATGAGTGCTCTGAAATAGTTCTGTGGTTAAATTTTAATGAAAGTGGTACACTTGAGAGTTCTTTTTGGGGACCAACATGTGTGTCTTTTATTGAGTTTTGCTTGGTATTTCTTTGAATACTCCATTTCTGTCATTTTTAAATGGTAATTTGGAAATAGTTTTTCCTAATCGCAGGCTTATTGACTGACTGTTAGAAGAAATTAAAATGAGAGTATTCCAGGTCTCCTATTTTGACCTTTTGTGAGACTGCTTGTAGTGAAAAAAATCACCTTTGCTAAGATGTCTTGACCTACTGTAAAAGTAATTTTACTGCACCAGCAAGCCAAACAAAAGACACTACTTTTTCTGTGAGAGCCTGCAGAATTCTTGAATTTTTTCACCTTTTTTCTGATCTCACACAAGCCATTTCTGCTTTCCTAAAAATACTATTAGTTCACTCCATTAGTTTACAGAGACAAGGTTGCCACAGGCTGTTACTGAAGCACTGGGAAGGTAGTGGTTTGGTCGATGGGAGTTGGCAGTAGTAAGTACCTGCTGTACAGCAGCATTCATGTGGGTCTCCTGTGGCTAATTAAAGAAAACTTCTTTGTCATGGGGAAATTTGAAGCTTCCCATACCCTGATCACGGATGGTCAGAAAGTAAGCACATTCAAGTGTCAAGCTGATTTTCAGAGTAAGCTAAGATGACAGGTGATTTTTAAAAGCTGACATAATGCACACCTGGATGCTGTCATCAAGCAACTAGAGTCTTTCAGGCTGAAGAGAGACAAGGCAACTTGTGTCTGTAGTATTCCTTTTGTGATGTGAAAAATTGAGAAAAATCAATGCACGGCTGCTACCTGTATAAAGCAATAATGTCATGTTTTGGTCCTCATTACATCATTTAATTTAGTTAGTATTGATCATCGTTTATTTTAGAATTTAGTTTACATAGATCAAGAATAGGTTTTCATTTTAAAGCTAGATTAGTATGCCACAGAATGGATTTAGGACTGTAGATCCTTTACAATGATCAGGATATTAAGGATATACTGTACATATCTTGAGATTTTTAAACCAGTAAAATACATAATGGAGCTTTTTAAAATAATTCATTTTTAATGCATGATTATCAGTCATTCTTTGTAGCCTTTCTGGAGACTACTCCGAAAGATTATGAGAAATCTAAAATGAAATAGAAATGTTTTGTTATCCAATTGTTGAGTACACCTTTTAAGGAATGAGATGAGGGTGGGAAGGCAATTACTGTAGTTTCGCATTAAGGGGACTGACAATACAGTAACAGATCATCTGTATAATGGTTATAAATACAATGCATAGTACAAGATGAAACCAATTAAAATTGAAATATATTGAATGTACATGATATAATACAGTATATTGAATTATTTGATGGGACTCAGTTAAACATTCAGTTCCCTCACTGGTTTTCTGTACACTAGTCCAAAATATTTAAAACCTTGAAACTATTCTCTTACAAGATCATAGATTAAAAAAAAAAAACACATCAGCACATACACACAAAGCTCTCTCACATTCACTAGTTTTACCTCTCTCATACACACAAAATGCTCTTACTGTACATTCACTAGTTTTACTTCTCACATACAGTGTTTTATGTATATGTGCGAGGTAAAATTAGTAGAAATTAGGTAAAATGTGAGAGCTTTTTGTGTGTATATGAGAGCAATTTATGTGTGTGTGAGAGGTAAAGTTTGAACAATGGCCTAAATGACACCTCATATAATACTGTCCCTTGAAATCAACAACTATACAGTATATGTATTAACACATATAACCCTAAGATCTTATCTGAAGTCCCTGAAGCTTTGAAGCACTTTTGTAGGTCTTTAACTGTCATGGTAATTGCACTATTTATGCAATGAATTCAATAGGAAAGTTTGCCATGGCAAATGTACTTCATTCAGAAAATATCACTGCATCAGTCATTGTACAAGATCAAGTTGAATGCTATTGCTATTCACTGATTAAAAAAACCACAAAGGCCTCTTTGCAAATGCCAAAAGGGTTGATAGTAACAGTCTATGGAGACAATGAACAAATAATTATTGCTCTCACAGCTGAGCTTCAGTACTGGGGATGTAAAAGGCCTTGTGCAGCAAACTCCTGTGCCTCCAGGTGTGATGTGTGTGTTGCCCAATTTACATGCATCAGGGGACAGTGAATGACATGAAGTGGAGCATATGCTCTTGTCTCCATACTTCTGGACATCAGGGAGGATTACACAGATTGAGAACACATTAATACAGGCAATTTATTAGTTCTGACAGCTGTATTTACTTTGTTGAAGTGGCCCCATTGCTGGCCTTTTCTTTTTCATGTTCTCTCGATTTATTTATTTTTTAGTAGATTTCAGTTTCCTTTCCCTTCTGCTTGATGGGAGAAAAAAGGTAACAAACACAAGGAAGCCATTCAGCCCATCTAGTCCATTTGATTGTTAGAAGTTAATTGATACAGGGATATCATCTAGCCATCTTTTTGAAAGACACAAGTGTATCAGCTTTAACCAATACTGGCTGGGTAACTTATTCCATACTCCTCTGAACCTTTGTGTAACGTGCCTTCTCTTCTCAATTTTAAGACATGATCAAGGAACTGTAGAGTTGTAACTCT